ACAAGCGACCATGACCACTATCACTAACGACACTGTGGCAACGGCAACATAAATTGTACTATTTGCGGCAGCCAGACTCATCGCAGCCGGAATAGCAGCAGTCACAGCAGCAGCACCCAGAATAAAGCTATTAAGCGTCTGAAGATGCACGAGCCTGTTGTGGCTACGCCCAGAAATTGATCGTCCGAGCTCGTGGTAAAGTGCAGCACGAAGGACATCACTAGTCGCAAACTCCAGCAACCATTGAAGCAACGATGCCTATACTGTAGCGAAGTTGGGAGGTCGTCCTGATCAGCGGTGAGAGCGGAGCGGGGAAGTGGCCGACTTGGACGATGATGTTTGTGTGTAGAATAAGGAGAAGGAGTGGCAGCAGCAGTAGTAGTAGTAGCAGCAGCAGCAGTACGAGTACGAGTACGAGTACGTAGTAGTAGGACGAGAAGGCTCCGCTGTTGAGGATTGTTCGCTGGCACACAATCCAAGCCCATGCTGAAACGCAGAAGAAGTAGAAGTAGTAGAAGCAGCAGTAGCCGCAGGAGCAGGAGCGGGAGTAGTAGTAGTGGCCGTCGTCGCCGTCGTCGTCGTTGCAGCAGTAGTCGTGTAGTTGGAGCTATTAGTAGCAGTAGGAGTAGGGGTAAGATAGGCGCAAAAGTAGGAGAAGGAGTTGGAGTAGGAGTAGGAATAGTAGTAGGAGTGTCAGCAGTAGCAGCAATAGTTTTGGCAGTAGTCAGCATCTTAGTAGTCGTAGTAGCGGTTGTAGTTGCGTAGTGGGTGCTGCCGTAGTGGGAGTAGCCGCACAGCAGCAAAAGCAGCAGCAACTGCGATTTATGATTTATGTAAGTTTGGTCACTACTAACCTTTCCGTGGTTTGTGGGGTTCGCAGAGCGCAGAGCTAGGGATCCTGTGGAATTCCCGCGCGATCGTCTCTGGCGACTGTTTCTCCCAGTCACGATCCTGAGTTGTCTGCCTCCCGAGGACGGAAACAACCAAGCATGTGCTGAAGTTCCTGACGTCCCAGCAACCGGGCTGATTTTGGAAGCCGTGGTAGCTGGAAGGCATGGAGCTGAAGATGTTAAGCTGCAGGCGAACCCTTGGTGTGGATCGTAGCCCAGGCTCTCCGAAAGCAAAAGCAAGGAGAAGGGTAAGCCTAGCCAAGTCGGTGGGGGCCTCAACCTGTGATTCCCGAGCAGCTGATGGATGCATCAGTGCTTAGAATCGCAAGGTGGACCGTGGAGCTGCTGCCTGCTTTTCAGACGGCGTACTATATAGCGCTATATTGCCCCGGTCCTCCCCAAGTCAAGTCAACCCCAACCCGAGAAGCGTTGGATTGCAAACTGTGTTCATCGCCGAGGGAAGACTCCGTCCGTCCATTCCGGAACCGAGAAGAAGGCTTGGCAAAAGCAAGTGTTTAGGATAGCTGTCCTGTTAGTCTTCCATTGCCTTACCACGCTTGCTGGGAGTGCTGCATGACTCCATCATCAGCTGTTCAGTCCCCGAATCTCTCGCAGTCACCTTTCTGTGCACTCGGGCACAGGTGCTCAGCTCGAACCCAATCCTCGAAGCTTTCGGCAACGCACCGTGCTTGGTCAACTTGAAGATAGGTCGATTGTCTGCAGGCCTCAGAGGCACTTTCCCATTAAAGGCCAGCTGTGGGGCTTTTCTGTCAAGGCATGCACTGTTCGCAACAACAACTCCTCTCGCTTCGGCAAGTTCATCGAACTCCGATTCCAAGCTGGTGGAGGCCCAGGGATGCGGCGTGCGGCCTTCGGGGCCCTTACTGTAGGGATTCTTCTCCGAAGTGGTGACCTTATCCTATTTTTCATGCTCCAAAGACTCGTCTTTGTCTTTTGCGGAATTCGGTAAGAGCCCTTTTCTGCTGTTGTGAGAAAATGATGAGTTCTCTGCCTTCAGGCCATGGACCGTCTTTCTCAAATGCCGCGATCGAAACGTCTCTTGTCTGCAAGGAGGGGTATATGAGTACAGCCGCTCCTTGGTGTATGCCAGATTCTGCTCTATGTCTCTACATTGTCATAGTATGAGTGGTTTGGAAGATCACCCAAACATACCCGTCCCGATCGTAGGTTCGTTCTAGCCAGGCGGGAGGCAAGAAACACTTCGATCCAATATTACTTGAAGGTTTGGACAGGCCAGTCGTGCTGAAAGAAGGAATAGTGCAGCCAGGTACCTGCTGGAGAAGGTGCGGGTCACAAAGATCGACAAACAGGACACGCGCGCGCGCGCGCAAATCCCTCCTATGCGTTTAGCAGCTGCATAGGGTGCGCCAAATCAGGAGAGGTCGTACCACATCTTCTACCAGGCATGGGGATGCCATGGTGTTTTCCCAAGATGCACCTTCAGGTTGCTAAGATTTAGAGATTGGCCCTGGGTCCAACCCTTCCCCCTCTAACCCGGTGCATCTCCCCCGAAAGTCAACTCCAGTATGCCGCAAGGCAAGTGGGTAGTTCTCTAAATTAGGGTCCCTTCTTAGGTCCCCAATATAGCAGGGCACCCGTATAAAAAGGATCCTAAAAGGGACCCTTACTTATTTAATCTTTTTTAGAGAACTACCCAAGTGTCTTCCTGAGCTTCCGACCTCGTAGCCTCAAGCCCACCCCCAAGCGCCGCAGTTGATTCGTTTGGAGTGTCAGATCTGCGAGGGTTTAGGGTTTAGGGCCTTAATACCCCCCAAAACACCAAAAGCCCTTGAGCTGCCAGGAGTGGGGGAGCACCGAAACCGCTTGAAAGACCTTTCACCCATCGGAACTTCCCAACCTGCCCGCACCGTCTGATTTGTTCACCAACTTAATCGAGTTTGACTTCCCCCACCTTCGGTTGTCGCTCGCGTCTTTCGCTTGCGGCTTTGGAAAGCAAGGAAACCACCGTGAAGAAAAGCCGGCCCTAAAGCCAACATGCTGAGTGAGTCGTCGATGGAGTTCGTAGTTGTCAGAGCAGTTGTAGCAACCCTCAGATTGCCGGCATTCGGAACGATCACTGCAGCAGTCAGAAAGCATTTGCTGATAAAAAATGCCAAAATCCTCATAATACGAGCAGGAATCAGAAGCGTCAGCATGGTCGTGCAAACTAGTGGTGACAGTAGAAGCACTGCTCATGGCAATCCACTACATTCACCAAGTTTCAAAGCTGCAGTAATCAGTCATTCTGCCCTAAACCCCAAGCCCTGCACCCTAAAACCCGAGAGCCCTAAAAACCTCAACCCTGGACCCCAAAAGTCCGAAAGCCCTAAACCGGAGCAAAAATTCGGCCGCGGAAGGCCTGCGCAGCAGCTGCGAATTTAGACCCGCAGCTGGGCATTTGCTCGCCGTAACGTAACGGTTCGAAAGATGTTTTGAGTTTTCGGGCTTAGGGCCTAGGTCTTTCGTGGGGCCTCCGTCTTTATAGGATGTATTGCACTGTTGCCTTTATTTGGGGCCAAGGGCAATCCGACAGGTGCGTTCTTATCCTGGGACAAGCTGCTTTCGTTCTGTTAAAACATTCAGGATGATGGGTGTTCTTCTGATGTTTTGCAGGATCCAGATCGGTAACCTAGATCGCAGGCGCTGATCCGACAAGGACGGTCCTGAAGGGCATGGCCATCAGCCCGTCAGCCCCAGCTCATCCCTTCAAGATGACCTGCCCCTGCGTTGCGGCCAATAGGCCTGACACAGCACCTTTAGTGAATGGCCAAAACAGCTATCAGAAGTTTGTCCCTGAAAGAAAGCCTTCAGCCCCATATCAAGGACTACCCCCCTCACAGCTCTGGAACGGGTTTGACAAGCAAAGTTTGCTCTCAGCAGCCCAGACGAGTCTTCGCTGAAGGCATATGAGGGGTTTTGCGTACCGATGTCAAGCCCAGGTTTCCGAGCCCTCATGTCGGCAATCGCAACACGAGCATCATAGCCATGTTTTCAAGGGTCCCTGCTTCTGCGGCTGGCTCCGGAAAGAAGCCGAAACCCTAAGTCAGCGAAGGCAAGACCTCGAAGGATTGCCGATGGACTACTTCCGCTCTGCCCAGGTTGGAACCCTCGAAGCCGGGTCGTCTGGTGTGGAAACATACAGGGGTTGAAATATCAGCAAACACAGACCCTTAGAGTCCCCATATGATCCCCGTTTGCATATAGTTTAAATAAGCGCAACTCTTAAGTCTTGAGTCTGCAGGGTTGTCATGATTGTGTCGTGTGGGGCAGGGGCGTAGGGTGCGATTTGTGCTTCTTCGGACCTCTGGATGTGTTCGGGGGTTGACGTTAGATCTTCTGTGGCGTCGAAGCTGTTTGAAGAAAGGTTTGTACAGGTCTGAAGATTGGGTTCTGTTTTCGGAGGATCGCGGCTCCGGTGTTGATAGTAGTGGTGGTAGTGCCTGCAGAAGCGTCATCTCGAACCGAAGAATCTGGCGCCAGCAGCAGGACTTCCGATATCTGGTGCAATCGGATCGCTTTGAGCGCCCTGGCTTCCAACTCGCGGCTTTTGGCTTTCGGGCTTTCGCTGGTTTTGAGTACTTCCATGATCATGCCCTGTATGCAGATTTCACTTTTTGTCCGTGTGCAAGGGCGAGGCGTTGTTTCGTTTTAGTTACACGATTTCCGGCCATAACGGATGTGTCTGGCATGGGACCAGTGCTTTCCAAAGCAATCAAGGCTCCGAGAGCCCCAGGCAGGCTATGTGCATTCGAAAGAGTCGTCTTAAAGCCCCGGTGTAGATGCGCTTTGGAAAACTTGAGGCCCGGTGGATGTGAGCCTTGCCCAACTGTTTAATAATTGTTTTCTATCTCTTTCTCTCTCTCTCTGCCTTGCCTCCGCTTGTCTCGTGATTCTGTTCGGTGTAGGGTGGTCTTTCTGATGTCGTGGCTAGGGCGAGTACGTGGTTGAGTCCAGCAGTCTCCTCTCTGGGGCCCTGCTAAGACGAAACCTTCCTGTAGCCACCCCACCCCCTCCCACTCCCCCAACCCGCTGCGGCCTGTATCGGCTTCAGCGTTCAAGCTCGGACCCCTCACCACCTGAGTGCCAAAGGCTGGATGGCGTCGATGATGCTGAGGAGTTCCAAATCATGAGGCCTCGGGACTTGTCATAGGCAGTAGGTACTAAGCCACGAAGCCAAAGATGTCTTACAATGAGGCAGCAGCAGCAGCAGCAGTAGCAGTAGCAATTCAAGCGGGGCCTGACCAGAAGCAGCCCTGAGTTGCTTCATAGGAGCCGCTAGGCCACCCAAAAATCCGGTCCGCCAGGCCCAACTCCCAAACCCCAGCGGCCCGAGGACCTCGCATAGCCCATGAAAGAGCATGGCACCCTTAACCAAGCGTTTGTGCAACTCCTGAATTGAATGAAGAGGCCCACACCCCAAAAGTCCACAAACCCTGAAAATGGTGAGACAAACCTCGTGAGAGGAAGCCGCAAGTGCCCCAAATCAGGCGCTCCATGGAGGCCATGGACATCCCCCCGCAGGAGCAGGTGGCCTGGGGTTGAGGGTTTCGAGTATATGGGGCTCTGGGGTCTAGGGTTTAGGATTGAGGGTGGGGATATCTTAACCCTGAGCCGCTTAAGCCCTTCATAAGCCGGGCCCTACTTAGGGTATCTTCGGGTGGGGTTTCGGGGGAAGGATGCAGGGCTGAAGTTTTCAGGAGGCCACTCATGGATTTGCAGATGTTGGGCTGTAAGTGTGCGGAGGCCGCTGAGGATTGGATGGAGGGTGACGGGAGAGGTGAGGGGGAAGAGAGAGGTTGCTGACATAGATCCTGGCAAATGCAGTTTGACAGGACATGACAGGACTAGCGAGGCTGAATGTTTGTGCAGAGAGAGAGAGAGAGTGTGTGTGTGTGTGTGTCACAGATATCATAACCGCTCTCGAGGTGTTGATATCATATCGAGACAGGTCACCACGGAGCTCGAGAACCCACCAATTTCACGTCCCCTCAAAGCCCCACAACATATGGGAGGCCACTACCTAACAAGTCCGTTAAGCCCAGCGGAAGAGAGAGAGAGTGTGTGTGTCCAGTGCGCGAAATCTTGCTGGGGGTAAGCCCGCACCGACCCTCTGGCTGTCCTGAAAAAGAGACTGTCCACCCCAGTTGAGGCGGCACTTGCACTGAGCGGCGAAGATTTCTGACACTGAGACAGAGTCAGAGAAAGAGAGAGGGCTGAAAGAGGGGGGTGGCCCAGGCCGACGTCTTCCGCATCACAGCGGCGGTTCTTCACATAGGCCAGCCTTCAGTGTCTCTTGATTGCTTCTGCTCCGAGGTTGACGTCGCTCTCTGCTAGTCTTCAGTTTGCTGTCGCGTATGCTGAGCGGGTATCGCAACGGCAAAACGAGCCAGATGCAAACACAGATGGGCCAATTACATTCTGCATTGAACCACCACTACAGGTTTAGACGTGCTGCTCTTCGTGACGGCTGCCTGCATTCAGCCTCATACGTCTTGCACGTCTCCCCGAGGCAACCTCACCATTGTCGAGAAGGACTGGCCGCCGGTGTGTATGGTTTTGGATCTACAGACTCTTCCACTGTCTTTTCATACAACTGTTTCATACATATGTACGTTTCTGTATATAATATACATACACCTATGCCAAATGATTATGTTTTCTTTTCTATGTGTGTATACATGTACTCAATTCTTCGCTCAATTAATGTAAAATATGCATGCTGATACTTGTTTGTCTTTGTCCACCGACGTATCGTTTGCAGAACCATATTTCGCATCTGGGCGCCCTAAAGCTGAATGTTCAGTTGCCCGGATCCCTGTCAAGCGAGCCTAGCTGAGGAAGCGGCAGCACGCTTCCGATCATACCAACCTCAGGATTCCAGGTTTGTGCTTCCTAGGCCATGGTTGAAAGCTGAGGGCTGAAAGCGCCGCCGTTCGCTGCCCCTGAGATGTTGTTTCCCCACTTGCGCGGCAGCTGCATGCCATGTCATGTGCAATATCGGAGCTTCAAGCATCAAACATATTCGCCTTGTGGCCTGCTTTTTGTCATTGCCTCTCTCTCCCTTCTTTCTTTGTCTCACTTCCTCGCTCGAGTGCGTTGCCCCACGAGCCAGAACGAACATCCCCGCGGCTCCCGCTGCTGGAAGAGCAAACTGTGAAGGTCGCCGGGAAGTTCGAAGTGGACCAGAACAACCCCTCCTTCAAGGAGCTCGCCATGCTTTGGGGCTTGTGGTTTGTTTATAGGGAGTAGCTTCATAATCAGCGCCTTAATGGACTCTTCTGATTTTCCATACCGCTGTGCTTTCAGTGGGATGGCTTGAGGTTCAGGGCATGAGTTTTCGGAGGTGGAGCTTCCTGCTTCGAGAAGCGTGCCCTCGCTGGAACGAACAGGTCGTAGATCCTATTTTCATAAAGCATGCTCTATTACAGTATAGCATAGTCCAGTACAGTATAAAATAGTACAGTAGCTTCTGCAATATTCCATTACAAAGTCGAATCAGAGTCGAACCCTCAAGAGTCCCCAAACTAAAGGGTCGGGGTGCTCGCGGAAGGCTGTGAGCGAGATCATGGGAATACAGCCCGCAGCTCTGGCAAGGCCGCCCTAGCTTTTGGCGAGTGCTCAGTTGAGTTTCGGTTGGGCACAGCTGAACAGCTTGCATGTTGCATGCAAGATTGCAGCCCTTGCGTGGTGGTGTGTGTCCGCCTCCGGGCACAAGCACTCCCCCTCTCTTGATTATCTGCTGATTGGCCCGCGTGCCAGGGCTCTTACACACAAGCTTATCGCTGTCGGAAGTGTGGCCCTCGGCATCCGCGGCTTTCTATCCTTATGCCGCCTATGTTTCTAGGTTGAAGCTGCCGCTACCGTTTAGAGACGCAAGCTTTTCGTCATCATCATCATCGTCATCATCATCATCACCTGTATCGCGCCTTCATTTTCTCCATGAGCGAAAGAAGTATGGTAGCCCAATGGGGCCTTCTACACATTACTTGTGGTGCTCAAGCTTGGGGTAGGAATCCCATGTATGATCATGCTCTAATTACTTCAATTTACTCCAAACCCTATTCCGATCATTAAGGCGCTTTTCTGGACTCCGATACCCTACGCATCCAGGTGAGCGCTACGACTCGCCCCTGGAGCGTGAGCAGTGCGAGGCCCTGGTGCAAAGGGTTGCAAAACTGCAGAAAGGATATCCATGAGAATATGCCCAGGGTGGGTACTGGGGCTGGGGGTATGTAGAAGCGGATGGTGGTCGTATAAAGTAGTCTGATCGCGATTACATACAAGCAGCAGCCATCAGTGGTCGGTGGCAGTATCAATGCTCACTCTTGTCCTGCCAGGCACGCCGTGAGTCTTTCGCGAGGATGATTTATTCTTACCTCTTTGTGCGGGCCTCGCGCCCTCTTCGTCTGTTGTGCAAGTTGCCACTTGCATCTGTGCAGTTGCAAACGACGCAGAAACTCTTCTGCCGTCATGCCTGCCAAGAACCACATGGTCTACCGCATCAACGAGTCGCTGTCATCCGGGCGAACAGGCCGGAGCATGCAGCATTTGGCTTCTTGCCCATTTCACTCGGCCCATGCCACGTATCAGAGTCGAGAAATCACAGCAAAGAAGGCTCCACGACTTCCAAGTTGTCCTTCATCGGAGTCTTGGACATCTTCGGCTTCGAGCATTTCAAGGCCACGCCGGCTGTCGGTGTTTCAAGATTCTAAGCTTTACGAACTAAACGTCGTAGATCCTGCGATCGCCGAGCCTCCTTCGTGTCACGGGATAGGATGCTTGAGCACGGCAGGTTAACTCGTTCGAGCAGCTTTGCATCAACTTTGCCAACGAGCGGTTGCAGCAGATGCTGCAGAGCTGCAGTTGTTACCAAAACTTGTCATGATGTCCACACCACATTTTCTGACAACCACGACGACCAATATCGTCAGAAGCTCGCCTCCTTTCCAGTTGGTTAGCCGTTAGCCTTTGTGATGGTAGTGGTAACGACGGCAGCAATGCCGCTGATGATGTTCGTGGTGAAGTTGAATAGGGCCCGAACGAGAAGCGTGATTATAGGGGATGATGGCGGCAGTCAGTCGCTGCCTTGATAGTCACCATTGTGAAGATGGTTGTCTTCGTGGTAGAGTGGCAGTGACTGGGTGGTGTGCTGGTTGCTGTAGTGGCGGTGGTGGTTCCGATGTTGATTGGGTGACGACGGACATCGGATTTATGTGTGTAGGGGTGTGACATGATTTCAATCTTTCTTCATCTGCTGGTTGCTGCGTGTGTTGCCTTTCCTTGCGGGTCTTTTGCAAGCACAAGCAACAGGACGTCAGAAGTTCCGACTTTTCGCGGTAGCTGAACCAACTCTGCTCTTCATGTGGCCCAGTGGATCAGTTTAACTTCGGAGTCGAGGTGGTGGGTAGTCGTGTTTGCAGAACCGAGGTTCAACCACTTCGTTTTCGAAGTGGAGATGGACCGGCAGCACGAGTTTCATGCCTTGGAAATGCGAACAAGCCTTCGCCGAAGTCTTAACCTGCTTTTCTCGTTGCAGGAGCTGTACAAGCAGGAGGGCATCACTTGCGATTTCTCGGACTTCCCGGACAACCAGGCGTTGCTTGAGCTGAGACTGAGAGATGCTTCATGATGGACTGCCTGACTAAAACTAGACAGGAATACCTTCGGTCTTCAGTTGAGGTCCGATTTTGGTAACCAGCTGCATGGCAATGATCCAATGGCATGGCAAAAGCAAGGTAGACCAGCAAACTGGACTACGATGGACTTTAGGACTTTTGGTAGCAATGCCAGGGCATCATCGACCTGATTCAAGCCAAGTCGATGAGTGTTTTCACACTGCTGGACGAGGAGTGTCGGATGCCAAAGGCGCGGTGGTCTCTCGACGCTAGGTTTGTGACGGTGTCCTAAGGATGGTAGGCTTGTCCTTACGGTTTAGGGAAAGAGCATATCACGAGTCCCGAGGCTATCAAGAAGGCCTGGCACACAAGTCAAGACTGCTTCAAGACTGAAAGTTTTCTATGAGAGTGTAGGCCGAGAGGATCGGATCTTCTCGAAAAGAGCCTGAAACAATGTTCAGCCGGCAATTTTGTTGGAGTCAGCGGAATGCACTTCAGCTTCCAGCCCAGGATTGGCAAACATCACGGATAGATGCGATAATCCTAAAGTCAGTTTGGTGCCTATTGCTGCTCTGCTGTTTCTATTGCAAGATACTGCGAGAAATTAGTCTTGGTGCCGTCATTGCCATCGTGAGTACTTGTATGGTTGCCTCCCGTAACATGACGCTAAACCGTTTAGCAAACTTGAACCTTCGACCCGATGCGAAGCCTCAATTAATTCTTAAACCCTAAACAGCTTGCTCGCCACACATGGCCCGAACGTTATCCATCTCAGCTGGTGTGCTGCGAGATTCCAAACATCAAACCTAAACACCAAAACAGAGTCCTCACTCGGTTCGCCAATTAAGCCTCCATAGTACCCTAAGTCATCGAGTTCAGTCCGGACAGGGCGCTGACAAGTCCTTTGCCTCTCGGTGGCAAGGGGGCGGAGACACCCATCTTGGGAGGCTTCAGGAAAGATGGGGCCCTAATCTAGATCCTAAAGGCGTTCTCAATTGCAAGGATCCCTGAACAAGCTGCCCCTGAAGTTAGGAAACCTCGACATGGCCGTGATCTCGTTAATCTTGTTCAGGAGTATGAGGGAGTGTAAAGACCAATCGCAGAAGGAGCGCACGCAGACACACACGTCAGATGAGAAGGTCAGACGACCGACGCCTGGAGCTTATGGCACAGATGCGGAAGCCGAGGTGCAGAAGTTGTGGAAGCAGTTCGAGAAGAACGAGAACTTCAAAATCGAGTGCGCCATGCACTAGCTGGATGCATCTATCTCATGTGCAGTGGGTACGTGAGGAACCCCCGATGTTCTAAGGGGTTCAGGTTCGACATCATCCAGTGAGCCAACAATCACTGGAGCCCCGAAGCAAACAAAAAACATCCGTGATGGGGTTCTGTATCTCCGTGGGGTGCTTCCACGTGTAAATGGAGCCGAATACCTGAGGGGAATGTGATTGAGAATGCAGCACGAACGTAACATGATAAGAAGTACTGCCAGTCGAGCCGTTTGTGCCGATGCTGAAGCTGATGATGACGATCGGGCTGTCGTCGTTGAGCTGCAGTGCTGCCAGGTCAGTCGAAACAGCAATAGTAGCCCATCATATCAGCACTCTTTAAGGTGATTCCGCAGTGCTGTCGGCCCCAACCCTGCAACCGAACGGAATGCAAACGATCAAGGCTGGATCCCTCTGAGAACCTGCCTTTCACACGCTGTTGTAGCCATTGCAAACCTGTCTTGCGCTCCAAAAGAAGTAGCACGATAAACAATGAGCTTATAGCCAAGACGTCTGCAATGCTTCTGGCAGCAGGGACTGTGTCTATGAAGCTCGCAAGGCCGCGGAAACCGATGAACTTCACGATCATCCATTTCGCTGGCCCGGTGTCCTACGACGCCTCCAACTTCATGGACTTTGCTGAGAGCTTCAAATGGGCCAGGGCTTGGAAGCCTCTAGGTTTCAGGTTTCGGGCCAGTTTAGGGTTTGGGGATTCGGTTCTGGAGCTTCTCAGGCTTCGGGCTTCGAGGTGATGGTAGTAGGATGGTTAGCATGGTAGGCAGTAGGATTATGGTTAAGATGATGGTTATGGCTGTTAGGGTGCTAAGGGTTTAGGGTTGGGGGCATGGGAATGAGGGAGTGCGTCGGGTACACCGTTAGGATGCAGCGACAGAAAGAGAGCTAGACGCCCCAAAACCCCATTCCAACAATTGAGGCCCCTACATTAGACCCCTGATGTCTAGATTCCTGCCGTCGACTCTGACTCCGGGCCGTTCGGGCATCACCTGCTGCGCAAGCGAGTTAGGTGAGTTAGGTGTAAGGATAGATATAGGACTAGCGTTAGACAGAAGGAAGAACTTCAAAAAAGATTCCCTTGTAGTTCCTCGTGGCTGTTTCCTATAACATACCCCAAACTCTACTCTAATTTTTGAGGTCCGCATGCTAGGAAGAAACAGAGCTCCAACTACTTTTGGCAGGACAAGAATATGGATGAACTGGGCGAGCTCCTGAAGCAATGGTCCCAGCCACACGCTCTTCATGCACGTTTAGGGTTTATAGGGTTCGGGTGGCTACAGATAGAGAAGGATGCTGATAACGACTAGACTGGACTCTCAAACTGGAATGTGGCGGCACCCAAAGTGCGCGAGAGCAATGGACACTCAACGCCACCATTGCGACTCCGGACGATGGTCAGAAACCATCCACTACTACCACCATAATCACAAACATCATAGTGTCCTTTGGTGTTCATGAGCATCATCATCATCATCATCATCATCATCATCATCCTCAGCCTCGTCCCGACTGATGCCCTCACCATCACTTCCACCAGGACAGTCATCAGTGAGCATTGTCATTTCATGCTCTTTTGATCTTCCTACATCATTTTCACCTGGATCTTCAGTACTGTCAGCAAGAGCACAGGCCCTAATGCAAAAGGGCTGTTCATGTCGAAAGAGGACGCTGTAAACAGCGAACTTGCAGGCTCCAATCGTGCTGAGGCAGGCCATTGAGGGCTCATCCAGCCAATTCGTTCGCAGCTTGCTGGAACGAACCGTCACCACGGATGTCGCCAGCTCAGTTTGAGCGGAAGATGTTGTAAGTTGTACTGCAAGGGCCCAGAAGAGTCTCTCGGATATAGGGTTTAGGGTTTCTTGCGCAGTCAGTGTTCAGGCGATTGCACAAGTCCTGATGCAAAAAGGGTTTCTTGCGGCTGAAGAACGGCAGAAGAGGCAATGCTGGCAGTCATCATCCGGCTTCAGAAGAGGATTTCTTGCTTCAGCGTTGAGGGCCTGCAGGTTCGGTATTTACAAGACGCGGGTACGGTTCCACGATGTTCCGCTGGAAGGCTTGGGCTTCAGAGTCAGAGTTTGGGTGCTAGACCTTGCAGAGCGGAGAGCGCAATGTCGATGATTCGTGAGTCCTGGAAACGCCCTAAGCCCTGATACTGCGGAGCGTTACCTTGACAGTTACGAGTGTCGCTGAATCTCTCGCTGCTCACATCAGGCAAAATCTCCTTCGCAGCCACAGCCCCGCGGAGTGAACGCCTGAGAATTTACGGGATTTAGCTAGTGGAGCGGAGTAGAGAGCATCAGTTGACAATACTGCTGCTGATGTTGATACTGATGTTAACAGGGTGCTGGGAGGGTTTGGTAGGACTTAGGTGCTGAGGGCTTCAGCTTTTGATTTCAGGGTCTTGAAACGTCACGTCCAGGTCTGGGCGGGTAGGCTCCGACACATCCATCGATTGTTAACTCGGAGATGTGGCATGGGGTTTCTTGACCCCAGGAGTGCAGGTCATGGGGCAGATGTTTTGGGGATTGTGTTGTTTGGCCAGGTTCGCCGGGGATTTGTAATTTCACGCGAGATATCTACGAACCCTAGGCCGTAATCAGACTTGTCCTTGATGTCTCCTTGCATCCTCTGGGGTTCAGACTATCACTTCGAAACTTCGAAGGTTGCAGCTTGAGGAAACGCAGAGGTAGCTGTCTTTGGTTTGGTGCAGTCTCGACTGTAGGCCAGATCCAGGAACTGAGGTTCTTTTGACCAAGGGTGTGGGTGGGTGGTATAATATACATATATATATATATATGTATATACATATATATATGTATATATATATATGATATAATACATATACATATATGTATATATATAACATTAATATGAGTTCAGCAGCTCCAGGCGGGCGGTCGCGCGAAGACCTTGAAGCCTCACACGGCAGCTTGGAAAGTTTTCAAGGGCGATGGCGTGAGGGCCGTGAGGGTTGGGGATCGGGTGCCTTCTAGAACCAGGTCACATTGCCAACAAACAGCATTGCTGATATCGCGGTTGCTAGTTGAATGGTTCCATGCTTTTCCATTGCTGAGCCGAGCCCTTCCAGCTACTGGTAGTGGGCGAACTTGGGCAGACACAGCCATGTCAGCAGAGATTCAGTGCCAGGTAGTTCTGACATGTTCTGACAAGTCGTGTTTCAATTGACAGCGCAGCAGAGAACAAACGGCAAAATACTTTCGGGTCAGTTTTCGTCGCAAACTGTAGGGAGCTTGGGCGTGCTCTCAAGCTCCAACTTTGCAGACCGTGTTAAGTTGAATCAGGCCAACCTAGTTCACGACGGCCGCGTCAACAACAGCCTACTCCTACTACTACTACTACTACTACTACTGCTACTGCTACTGCTACTACTACTACTACTACTGCTGCTACTACTACTACTACTACTACTACCACTGCTGCTACTGTTGCTGTTTTCTGGAGAAGCCTTCTGTCACCCTACACCTCG